ACATACCTCCATAATATAGATATTTGTAGGTATGAGTATCTTAAGTGTAGGATAACAAACACAAAAGAGAAATTTTAAAGAGATGAAATAAAAACAAATAGAGATAAAAGTTTGAATATGTTTCCCTAGTGCCAATGTGGTATATTCACCTATTTTGTAAATTCCTACCAGAGAATTTTATGCTACCTTCTAAAAGAATGTATACAGTACATCGTTCAGGAAACATCTTAAAAACAAAAAAAAATTTGTGCAATATATGATTAAATTTTTTTTCACAAACAAATGATACTCCTTAAATTCTTTATACTGGGGGAAAATAAGATATAAAAAGGCTATAAAAATGAGAAAATACCAATGATATAATATTAAATAAAAAAGTGAAAATTTATGAGTTATATTAGTCAATATAGGTAAAAAGTAAATTAACTTGAAAAGGGACTAGAAAACAAACAAATAAGAGAATTGATTTGGTTAGGTGCACAATCTTTATCTTGGGTTTAATTGCCATTTTAACATCAGCATTAGGAGATACTACCTCATTCTCTCTGGGTTATTTCTTGGTTTTCTTCCTTGTAGCAGGATGATTCCATTTGTTGCTCTGCAGAGGCCTCTGCATTCCCATGTGCACATTCATTGGGGTTCACATTCATGAGTCTCCATTTCACACTCCCAGCAGACAGGCTAAGATCTCTGAAGCCCAAGTCCAAGTCACCAATAGAGATAATCTGATCGCTCCAACTTAGGTCAAAGGGTCCCAGCGGTCCAATGAGCTCTGGCTGTGGAGACAAAGTTGTAAAGTCAAATCCAGGTGTCAGATTCACCATCATGTTTGAGTGATAGTTCTCAGGGAAGGGGCTGGCAATTTCCAAAGATGTGCATGACCAGTTATTTGTAGAGTTTGTTCTAGAACCTGAGGCCTCTGGACCAGATTGGGTGATCTTTCCAATCCTCAGAGTTGATTCATTCTCTATATCCAAGAATTGGTGACTAAAAAACAACTTGGGTCAGGGATTTGTGGGATTAGCATAAGATAGACGCATCAAAATGGGACATTTCTATGGGAAAATGAGAGAGTAATTTACAGAGAAAAATATGGCTTTTAAAGGAATGAGAATACATGAAGGTGCCTCTGGAATATTTCTACTTGTTGTTTATCCACAACTAAAAATCTATATAAAACAGTTTGCATATGGTGTCCACTGTCCAGTGCAACTCTCAGACCTGACAGGTTACTTGCTGGCATCTTGTGCATAAAATATCCTCTTCCTGGCTCCATGCCTCAGCTTGATCCTGAGATGCATGACAAAGCAGCCCAGGAAGAAAGAGAAGTCAGGAAGAGAGGAAGCAAGAGAATAGGTCCTGGCAGGGGGCCCTGCTGTCATTGTGGAGTGAAGTGTGGGATAAGCTCTGGTCAGCTCTCAGAGCAGCAGGGGAAAGCACAGATCCAAGCCACTTCCCTGATAAGAACTCAGTGGAGCCAGAGATGGCCCCACTGCCCTTGGCTACTGGGCCATTTGAGGGGAAAATTAAATTATAATCCTACCATCATTTGTATATCTGGAAATTTGGCATAGTAATTTAATGTTAATAAAGTGAGAGATTAAATGGATAGTTTCCTTAAAGATTACACTTCACCCCCCAAGGTCAGATAGAAATTATAAGTAATGTAGTGGTGTAGTCAGATCACTCTGGCTGTATAAATGTCACGACAAAAGCAAGGAGTCGTTCAATTTTCTATATTTGAACATCTCATTAGAGTCTGTGTCATTTAGAGACATATGGATGGCAGAAAGGTGACATTTAAGGTCCCTCATGGTAAGACAAGCTCTTAATTATCTGATGGAGGTTAATGTGTCTGTTGAACAGGGGAAACCTGAATATAAAACGGAAGAATGGATTATGTTAAGAACAGATTTCATGGGTGCACCCATGAAGTGGGCCATCCCGCTAGGATGTCTGGCCAGAGTTTTCCTACCTAGCTGGTTCCCTGCCAGGCTGAATATGGCAACCAGAACAGTTCTCCTTGGTATAAAGAAATGATGACCACAGATGTAAGGAAGAGGATTTCAGAAAATAAGTCTTTACCCCCCACAATGATGTAGGCAGAAGCTTAGCCAGACTAGAATGCTGAAGGCCATGATATGGTCATGTGCGGGAATGAAACAAAGTGCATGAAGTTCAGGGTGGCCTGTGACTAGTGTAGGAGACCGTTAAGGGCAGTCAGGTAGGCAGCTCATTTAATGAACTATAAGAACTCATGTCCTTGGGCCAGAGATTTAGCTCAGTGGTTCTACCACCTGCCTCAAAAGTGCAAGGTCCTGAGTTCGATCCCCAGTACAAAAAAAAAAAAAGAAAACCTCAGAAAAATTCATGTCCTTGTGTAATGCATGCCCCACTCCCTGGATGTGGGTGGACTGAATGATTTGCTTATAACAAATACAATATGGTAAAAGCAATGTGATATCACTTTCAAGATTAGGTTACAAATATAAACCAAGATTTCTATCTTATGCACCTTCATTCTAGCTTTTGTCATTGGTTCCCTCTGACAAAGCAAGCTGCCATGTTGCAAGATACCCCATGGAGAGGCCCAGGTGGCCAGGAAATGGAGTGACCTCTGGCCAACAGACAGCAAGAGACTGAGGCCCTTAGCCCAACAACCCTCAAGGAACTGAATCTTGCAAGTACTTGAGCACCAAACTGAGTCTCCCTGAGTTGAGTCTTCTGATGAGATTGCAAACCACCCCAACTTAACTTCCTGATTGCAGCTTGTGAGAGCCCCTGTGCCAGAGGACCCTGCTAAGCTGTGCCTAGATTCTTGACCTACAGAAACTCTGCGAGAATAAATGTTTCTTTTAAATTGTGGCTGAGTTTTGAGAAATTTGTTACATGGCTGTTGAAAATTATTACAGTAGCTTGAGACTTTATCACGCTCCTGGGGTGGGAGGCCCCAGGCCAACCAATAGGCAGGTGTTTCTTGCTGTGTCTCCACTTTCTCACCCTTGCCCCATCCTATGGATTGGGGTCTTTGTGTTTCATCATGGGAGCCTAAAATAGAAGGAAGATTTGTACTGAAATGAACACATTTTTCTATAGATTTAATGATTAGCTTTAGGTAAGGAGCTGAAGAACTGGGCAAGGTACAGAAATGGCCCTTGAGGCAGACAAGAGCAGTGCCCATTTTCAGCAGAGACTGATGCAGAGCCAAGATGCTTACTGCAGCTTAGGTTATCTTTCTGAACAACCATTGTCAGAGATTTTGACAGAAATCCTGCCAATTTGTATCCTGCTCTTCTCTAAGAGTTGGGAACAGATTGACCAAGAAATGGTGTGGTAGCTCAGAATAACTCTCCAGCACAATTTGGTGGCTGCTGTATTTTTCACCTTTTATACCTGCAACATTGAGCATACAGCTCAACTTAGCCCTTGAGCTACTCAATAAACAGCTGGTGGAAAAACCCTTTCAACTGTCTCCAGCAACATCTCCTAAATATGAAAAGCAAGTTTTTATTTCACAGGAAGGTTTTATTTTCTTGGAAAAGTTTAAAAACCAGGTGAATTTGGACTTTCATCCATATCTTCTTCGATTCCACTAACATTTCTTGTTCCTCCTGTACAGGAGGTCTTGTCTTAGTGGATAAGGTTATAAAGATGAACACAAAATACCATACTGGCTTAAAAATGCCATACAGGCTCCACTGGTTTAAACATCTAATGAAGGACTTAAGTAAACACTGCTTTTCAAGTGAATAAGGAAGTTGCAGAATTGTTTATTGAATTTAAAGAAATGACAAAAATGGAGGGAATGAACAAAACTTATTTTCAGGGTATTTTATTTTTCCCAAGACATTATCCATTTAAGAGGTGAGGGAGACCTGACCAACGTTGGGAAATCCAACTTTCGTAAAGTGAAAATCTAACTGCTTTGATATTATTGGTAAGGTTCTCAGTTTTGAGTGTACAAAAATCATTCCTTCTCATGAGATTATGTGGATGAGATGAGTAGAATTTTAGAATGATATGGCCAACATCTGAAATGAACAGACATTTCTCAGAAAAAGAAGTAAGAGCAGCAAATAAATATATGAAAAAATGTTGTTCAACATCACTCGTCATTCGAGAGATGCAGATGAAAACAACACTGAGATTCCACCTCACCCCAGAAAAAATGACTGCTATCAAGAAACCAACCAATAATAAATGCTGGTGGGGGTGTGGGGAGAAAGGAACCTTTCTCCGTTGTTGGTGGGAGTGCAGACTGGTGCAACCCCTGTGGAAATCAGTATGGAGATACCTCAAAGAACTAGGACTAGAGGTCCCATTTGACCCAGCTATTCCCCTGCTGGGTATCTTCCCCAATGAATTAAAAGAATCATACCACAGCGATATATATGCACCCATGTTTACAGCGGCACAGTTTGTAATAGCTCAAACTTGGAAACAGCCCAAGTGCCCATCAACTGGAAACTGGATAAAGAAGATGTGGTTTTTTGTTTTTTTTTTTTATAAAATGGAGTACTACTCAGCCATAAAGAATGAGAAACTAGAGACATTTATAGCTAAATGGTTGCATATTGAGGCCATACTCTTAAGTGAAATAAATAGGACACACATGTGTAAATACCAAATAGTTTCTCTAGTGTGAGAAACTGAAAGTGTAAATAAGGATTGAAATGATTAAAATGAATAATTGATAATTTGAAATATTAAAAGGTCCAAATTTGTAGGGGTGGTAGGAGGGGAAGGGGAAAGGAAAGAAGGGAAAGGAAAAATTATGAGAAAAGAAAAAAAATGGAAATGAAATCTATGTAAATAGGGAAGGGTGGAGGGGGTGAAGGGCACACAGGTAATGGAGAAAAAAATAAGAACCAAGATACATCATGTACAGGTACAAGCACCCAATGATAAATGTAAATGTATTGTATACCTAAAATGTACCAATAAAAGAATTTTTAAAAAAAGAATGAAACGCCCAAGCTTAATGAAGATTTTGACAATTCTTTTTTTAAAATTTCTAACATTTTTAATGAAGAAATAAATTCAGAGAGGAAAGAATATGTGCCCAAAGTTACATAGTGCTTAAATTATACATCCAGATGAGAAGCCAGGTCTTCATCTTGATTCAAGCCATCATTTTGTATGATGTTCTTAGGTCAGAGCATTAAAGATCTGGATTTTATAATCAATGACTTGTTTTTCCTGGTGATAAATTAAATCATGGAAGATCTGATTTTCAAGATGATCGGTTAATGAAGCGCTTCCTTTATTTTCAGAATTAAATCTATATAATATAACCATGCTTGAAAATGAGAAAAGGCACAAAAGTGGACCCTATACTGAGCAAACTCTGAAAGCTGGCACCCAGGACACAACTGAGAGTTCTGCTTCAGAAATATGAGTGCTTCCTCCTGAGAGTTGGACTTCGAGAGTAGAGAGTAGCCGAGGCTAAGCAACAGTCATCACTTAATTAAGGTATCACACTTAGGACCGTGAAGATGATTTAAAATTGCATAATTCGCTCTTTTCCTGAATACATATTCAATACAATTTTGATAAAATCATAAATAAGACAGCAAAAAACAAATGGAAAAACTCACACCCAAGGAAACCAAGTCAATAAAGCAAGCATTACAGAACATAAGTATATGATATCCTCAGAGAGATGTAGAAGAATATCACATCTATGAAATAAGTTCAGATTGTTAAAAGAATCAAATAGTAGTCTCCAAATTTCAAAAGCACATATCTATAGAAGGCAACAGGTGCGTTGAAGATTAGAATGTACACAGTGAAGAGCAAGTTATAATATTTGACTACCAAAGTGAAGAATTCTCCCAGAACTCAGCACAATAGAATGAGAGGGGACAAATATGAAAAATGAGCCGAGATGTAGAAACTAGATTCTTGCATTCTGGCATTAATGTAGAGAAATAGCAAAAAGAGAGATTAGAGAAGGAAAGTGATGGGAATATTCAAAGAAATAATAATGAATGATGTCCTAAAATTAAAGAAAGAAATCCAGACATCAAAAGGGGAACTACGTACTGAGCAGGATAAATTTTATGTAAAAAGTAGAGTTGGCCAATATAAATTAGGGGTTCATTGATAACTTTGCAAATAGATGCTTCTATTAATGTTGATACACTAGCTTGGGAAGATGGGCCCTGAATTCATTGTTATGATTTGACTGCAACCTGATCTTCTTGGATGATGCTTGGAAACACCCATTGCATTTCACACAATTCAATGCATGGTGCTCTACAGACATAAAGCCTATCCTGATGGCAGGAGGGTTTCCTTACTGAAGTTGTGGTAGACAGACTGAAAGGGGATCCCCAATGATTCTCACTTTCTGGCATTCATGCCTTTGTGTCATCCCCTCCCCTTGAGTGTGGGTGGGACCTGTGACTTGCTTCTAACTAGCAGATATAGCAAAGGTGAAGAGAAAATTTCCTGTGTCTCTATTATATTTGCAAGATGATCTCACTTTCTGGTTGGTCTTTAAGAAGCAAAGAGCTGTGTGGTGACCTGCATATGGAGAGGCCTACTTGTGAAGGAATGCTGGGTGGCCTGTGGGAGCTGAGGATCTCTGTCCTACAACCACATATGACTTAATTTTGCCAACAGTCTGAGTGAGCCTGGAAGTGGGCCCTTCCTTGGTCACATCTTCAGATTAAAGCCCAGTCTGCCAACACTTTGATTGCAATGTGCAGAGATCCTGAGCCAGAGAACCCAGCTGGGCTATGCCCAGACTGCTGACTTGCACACAAAGTGTGGGATGACCAATGGGTGCTATTTTCCACTACTCAGTTTATGGTCTCTTGTTATGCAGCAATATAAAGTAAATTCAGGTGATTCCAGGACATGAATTTCAACTTTTGATGATGCCTATGGTGCAACTGGATGGTGGAAGGCTGGGGAAATTTCTGTGCTTAGTACCACTAATCTGCTGTCCTGGTATTTTGCCAAACACACACTAATCCTACTCCCTGCCTTTCAAAGTAAGAGTGAATTATTGTCACCTTGATATGGCAGCTCTGACTGTAGGAAGGAGTTTTCCAAATGGATGCTGATGCCCAGGTGACTGGGCTCTTGTCACTGGTAGTGCTCAGGATAGCTGGCAGGTGATTCAAAGGTGCTATTGTCTGTCAGCAGCTGCAGCTCACACCTGCATGCCTATGTACTTGTAAATACATAAACACAGCTGAGTGAACTCACTACAGATGCTTGCCTACCACTATCCTGGCATGACAAGGTCTTTCTGCTGCCTGGGATGTTTGTGACTCAGGATGAAATCTCTGGACTCTTATTTTATGGCAAGTGCCATTTCTCAGGAAGTGTCTGAGAAATCTAATGTCAGCCTAAAAGGGGTAACAGTGGGCAAGTATACTCATATTGATCTCCTGGGATCCTCATCTTTCTCTACATATCTTACAGAACTTCACCTTGGCATACTATATGAAAGATGTTCCAAAGAGAGCATGAAGATATGGTAAGGGCTATGGTTTGAATAAGTGTGCCCTAAAGGCCAAATCTGAGCCCATGGCATGAGTGGGAGGTGGTGGAAAACTAGGAGGGGACCTAATGGGAGGTCTTCCAGTCCCTGGGGGCATGCTCTTGAAGGGGATACTGAGACCCCAGCCCCTCTCTTTCTTTCCCAGTTTTTGTCACAATGTGATGTGCTGCTTTGCCACAGCCCCAAAGAAACAAATCATAGCCTGCACTTGCAAAACTGTGAGCCAAAATAAACCTTTCTTCTTTTCAAGTTGATTTTCTCAGATATATTGTTATGTAATAGAAAGCTGACTAATACAGAAAATTATGGTCCATCTCTTTTACCTCACTTCTTCAGAGACAAATGCTTCTGAACAGGTTTCTAAGCATAGGGGTTGCTTGATGGGTGGCCTTTAAAAGTGAACTCAGTGGTCACCAGCAAGTATTTCAGCCAATAGTTCACAGTGAAATTAGTGGAGTCATTTCCAAATGAGATGAATATGTACAATTGTCTCATTTTCAGCAAGTTCTTGGAGTTATAGGGATGCAATGTGGAGGCAATCAGGTGGTCTAGTGGAAAGATTCCACATTTGGATCCTAGCTCTACCATCCATTCTCACAGCATGACCTACGACACCCTTCCTCATTCTGAATCTCATTTTCCCCATCTGTACAATAAAGTGGCTAAACTATGGCCAACTTAGTCTTAGATACTACATTTTCTCTTCTCCCAGCATAAAAATAAAAATAAAAATGCTCATCTCACTGAGACACCCATGAGATGACGAATATCCATGGAACTTCATGACCCACAGGAATACTGCTTACTGTATAGATTATCAGGGGCCACACTTTCAGGACATGGATCTGTCACCATTGATGTCCAAACCTGAAAACCAAACATCTCAAGTACCAAAGACACACCTTGGGTAGTTCATTCATTCAACTCATGCTTACAGCATCAACTGGAGTTCTTTTCATTTTGTTTGACATCAAGATTCTTCATTTTATAGAAGCAATCATGTTTGCAATTTAGGGTAGATCTGGTCATATTTCCCATGGCAGGCACCTGGGTTTCTGTGATGTTTCTAAACAGGAAGTGTCTGAGAAATCTAATGTCAGCCTAAAAGGCGTAACAGTGGGCAAGTATACTCATATTGATCTCCTGGGATCCTCATCTTTCTCTACATATTTTACAGAACTTCACCTTGGCATACTATATGAAAGATGTTCCAAAGAGAGCATGAAGATATGGAGCACATATAACTCCACGTGCCTCTCCAATTTCTGGTACACAGTGAGATTAAAGAGGTAAGTCCAAAGGAAGAAAACTCTTAGATGTTATTGTCCTACTTTTCCAATGGCTTTATTCTGCTCCACCCCAAGTCTGCATGTCCCATTCAGCAAAATCAAAGCTTTATAGCTAATCATGCCTCCTTCCTTAGACAGCACCTAACTATCTGCTGTCACTATTACCTCCTACCAACTGAAGGGGTTCACATACCCTGGAAGTAGCTTATCAAAGAATTCTTTCCTACACCACGTGGTCTTTTCCATGAAAGGAACTATGGTAAATGCAAAAGAACCACACTTTCACAATCATCACAGATGTTATTCCAGTCCTCTCATTCATCATGCAGAGAGAATAATCAAATAATAACCACACCAAAGAGTTCATAAAGGGCTAAATGAGACAATTGATTGGCTGAGCATCCAACAGGAACTGTTTTCCAAGGGTATCTTGGTGATCTCCTTGTCAGGACTGAGTAATGCTACTTGTCTTGGTTGATGGCTTCCTATTGAGTACTTCACACTCAGCCCCTTCCTTTGAAAGTAACCTGACAGTCCTACTAGCTCATGGTGGTGGGGTTTCCTTCTTTATCTGCATCAACTGTTGAGACAGAGAATGTCAGAGCTCCAGGACTTTTCACTCCAAGCCCTTTTTATGGTGCTCTGGGTTGGAAGTAACAGAAATCCAACTCAACCCCATTTAAGTAATAAATAGAGACTTTATTGGCTCATGTATGAAAAAGGTCCAGAGGCAGGACGACTCTCAAAGTTTACCCTATATTTAATATCACTGAAGACCTGGATCTTGTTGCCTCTCAACTCTCCCTTCAGCTTCATGTTGAGAGTGATGCTATAATGGTCCCAGGATGGTCATTATCAAATTCAGGATTACCTGCTTTCTCTTCATATCCTTCTCCCTCTCCCTCTCTCATTCTCCCTCTCCCTTTCCCTCCACCTGTTTTATTGTCCTGGGGATTGAACCCAAGGCCTTTCCACTGACCCATCCCCAGTTCTTATAAAAAAGTTTTCGTTTTGAGACAGCGTCTCTTTCAAGTTTCCAGGCTGGGCTCAAACTTGTGATCTTCTTGCCTCAGCCTCCCAGAGTACTGGGATTTCAGGCATGTGCCATCTCACCAGCCCAGCCCCAGAAGTCTTGAAATTCCCTCTGCCTACATAGATCTAGCTCACACAATCATACCTAGATCAGTCACTCTGGCCAGAGAGATGGAATACATTATTGGCTTAGTTTACATCAAATGTTCACTCCTGGAAGTGGTGAGAGCCAGTTCTGCCATCATATGAACCCTCAGCAGAAATGAAGGACTGGTGGGAAAGGAAATAGGGGAGTAGATGTTGGAAATGCAATCAACATCCATCACATCCCTCATTTTATGGATGAGAGACTGAGACCAGACATGAAAAGACTGTCTAAGATGACAGCAAGCTGGGACCACAACCTAGCCCAAAAATATACAAACCTTCCAATGCTTTCACTATACTTTGCTCCTACCTGGTTCAGGCCAATTCATCCAATATGCAAATGATCAATTTGAACCAATCAATTTCTCTGTAGCCCTTATAAACTGCTTTGTAGGCACCAAATTTCAAGCACCTCCACCAAGTTTTGACGTCAAACAAAACAAGCTTGGCCCAAGGATTCTTACAGACATGAGGCTCAACTTCATCTCTTCCTCCTCCCTTCTTGGGGCCTCCTAAGAACCAAATAGCTCTTGCTACTTTTAAGAGAAAAAAAACTGCATTCTGATGTGCAAACATGATTGCATATTCATGCACTCAAAATCTAATTTTAGCTGCGAGAGGCTTCATTATAAGATGCTCACATAATTAAGCAGCTTTCTTCCCAGGGTTTGGGAGCTTGTCTATTCTTCTTTCTCATTTACACATCACTAGGATTATCAGGATGTGTTTTAGTTTTTTAAAATTATGTATTTTGGTTTTTCCAAATTGATCCACAACAGGAGATAAAATCTATGAAAATGACATGTTTTAACACAGGTTTGTGTAACTCCATATCCTTGCTATTACAGTTGGAATCTGTAGAGAGTTTTGCTGTTCTGTTATAATTGAGTCTCAATGCATTTGCCACTCTTCTGCTCTACAGACAGATCAGCTTGTACCCTGAGGCTGGTCAGGACAGTATCCTCTTTCCTGAGAAGCCAAGAGTTGTAGATGAGACCTAACTTTGGAGAGAGCCAAACGGATTTTCCCAAAAGGACAGACAGATTCCTCATCCTAATAAGGAGGTAGACCCAGGATGAGGGCTGCTGGGAACCAGCAGTGGCTGTGAACTCCATGCCATATGAACTGACAGCACCCCACCTGAAAGGGGATGAAGCCTTGGGGCATCTGGCAGCAGTGAATGTACCAACCAACTCCCAGGAGAAACTCTCCAGGGCTGTTGGCTCTCTCAGGCTCCTGGGGTGGTGAGTGAAGTGTAGGAGATCAGGCCTTGGCTGCAGGCTGGTCAGTTCTCTCTACATGTTTTCCCTTCCCAGCCTCTAGGGTTTTAGTCTTTGCCTCTGATCATCTGGATGCCCCTGGAGAGTGAGCCCAAGCCTTGGCTCTATTGCACAGGCCAGCCTCCCTGCTCTCTAGCAATCTGATGCCAGGCCTACTGCCTTTTTGAGTCTATAGGTTTGCTCTGGGATGTAGACACCCCTGGCTCCCTTCCAAGGCAGCATGGAAACTCCTGTGGGTCTCAACTGCTTCCATGCTCAAAGGAAATAGCTTTGTCAGGGGCTTTCACAGAAAGGACCATGTAGCCATCCTAAGCCAGTGAACATTTACAAGGACACTGGTGTTCCCAGCTTTAAGATCCCAAAGTAAGTTCTAAAACAGCCTCTCATTGGGAATCACATGGAAGCTACCAGGAGCGGGGTCAATCCCCCCACCCTTCACTGGGTGAGAGGGAGCTTCACTGGGTTCTCCACCTGGTCTGTGCTCACTGCAAGGAGCCCTTGGCTCCCATGGCCAGGCCAGGGGGCAGAGGCAGGATATACCAATGGCAAGGCTGAGCGGAGGTCTCCCTGATGGCCACCCCAGGGCAAGATCACAGGGTCCTGCCGGGATTAGCTCAAGCCTGTAGGAGCCACACAGGGGCCACCTGATTTCAGGCTCACCTACTTCTTCTCCCTTGTGTGGGTTAGTCTGCAATGAGATCTTCACAATCCTCCCTATACCCTGGCCACACCAAGCTTTGCTCCCAGACTACATCCCATTCTCCAACCTGACCTTCCGGGTCTCTGAGTCTAAGATATGTAGTAAAGCATGCAGTTGGTCATTAGCATCAGCAGCTCTCCTGGTCTTGGGTTAGCAGGGCATGGCCCAGGCTGAGCACTAAGTAGCCACAAGGATAGAGTTCCTTTCTATGCCCACCTGTCCTTTTCAAGGATTGCCCCAGCCTCTGAGGCTTTGCACATGCTCCTCTCTCTCCCTTGACTATCCTCCCCATCTCCCCTATGCTAGGATAATTCCTACAGATTTCTCAAGACCACTTCAATCTGAAGGCACTCCTCAAAGGCCCCAACACAGTGACCGAGTCCCCTCTGAGCTCACATAGCACTTAAGTTCCTCGGAGATGGGGTGTCTCATGCCCCTCACTAGACTGTGAAGTGAGAGGGGAGCAAGGGCTTCTGGCATTTGCCTCTTCCCCGTGCTTGGTCAACAGAGGCATCCATGACTATATGGGCTTCCCCTTGGAAGGAGGAAAAGGATAAACAAGTGGGAACAATGTCACCACACAGAAACAGAGACAGATGGTGTAACAAAGAGGCTGAGTGACAATATAATGGTGATAGGATGTGTCAGGATGGACACAGAGTGGCACAGAGGGTCTGCCACCAGGGGTCTGGCAGAAGCTGTGGCACAAGGGTCACATAGAGCATTCCTATGACCCGAGTGTGACAATCAGAGAACAGGTCTTGTTAATATGTGTTGGGCAACAGTCCCAGTGGCCCCAAAATGAATCCTCAAGGGTCTCCTATGTCCACCCCAGCCCCCTCCTGCTGGAATACTGGTCCCTTGGGTCCTGGACTTTCCTAGAGACTTAGCCCCTGCCCCACCCCGCCCCAACCCTCATACCCTGCTTCTGGGGCAGAGTGTGAATATGCAGCTTCCTTAGAAAGCATCAGAGGAAAAAGGCAGGAGGGGCCCCACTCCAAGGACCACTGACTTGGGGTGAGTTGAAGAGAAAGGTTGGGCTAGGCAGAGTGGTCAGTATGTGCACCTGTAGAGCATGGCAGGGGGTGGGCTTCACTTTGCCCACCGTGCCTCACCATCCCATCCACAGAGAAGAGAGAGGCTGAGCTGCAGACTTTGCAGTGCCTGGTAGTCACAGCACACCTTTATGGGAGGTCAGACAAGGTCAGGGCCGAATAGCCCAACATCAACAGTCTACACCCACCTCCATCCCTTTCTGCTTGGGGCACGAGTGCCTGCCCAGGCTGGCATTCTAGAGTTGAGGGCTCTGGAAAGCAGGTCTGTGCTGGGGCTGGACACAGGAAGCCTAGGGCCTCTCAGAGCCCAGGATACATGTATGTGCACGTGCACCTATGAGAGACAGCCAGCCAGCCTCTGGGCACACACCCTGGTACCTATGTGTTTGTGTCTGTATGTGGCTGCATTTGCAAGGCTGGGCACATCTGGCTCACCCTGCATGGGTGGCTTAGGCACATCAAAATGGGCATCGTGAGTGTGGAACAATGTCTAAGTGTCTGTGAACATGTGAGTGTCTGTCAGGAGTGTGTGTCCATTTGTCTGTCCTGTGATGTGTCTGGGTGGGTCTGGCATCCAGATCAAGTCTCCCTGCAGCACCCGAGGGCCTCCCTGCTGACTGTGTACAAGCAGCCATATGTCCCATGTCCCAGAGGTCCACGACCCAGCAGCAGAACAGGGGTACAGTTTCATGGCATGACTGCATCTTGAAGCAAGGGTGGGCAGCTTGGGCTGGGGCCTATCATCTGGGCACATACTCCCTGGGCAGTCCGGCCCAGTTGTGGTCACGCAAGGCCTGGTCCACTGTCCGGATATAGCCATTGATCAGGTCTTTCATCTCGGGAGTGAAGGGTTCTGGGTCATGTGGGCGCTGGCCATGCCGCCGGAAGCTGCCTTCCTTGTTGTTCTCCACACAGAGCAGCCGATCCTCACTCACAGACACATTGAGGAAGGCCACCATCTCCCGCAGTGTGGGGACCAGGCTGCGGCGCAGCTCTTCATAGTGCACCACCAGCAGCCGCTTCCCATACTTCAGCCAGTCCAGCACATGCGAGGACCACCATGACGCATAACTGTTCACGAAGTCTGGCCACTCTGGAGTGGACAGAGAAAGGACATGGTCAAAGACTGCCCTGCCATGGCGGCTGGCTCCATTGGGCCTGCCAAGGAGAAAGAGGCAGCCAGGGTTTCCATGGGCCATTGCTCAGGGCCAATCTGCCTGGATTGCCATGGGAGCAAGACCCTTTGGTGACCTAGTGTGAATAATGGGCTTGAATGAGTCCTAGGGCAACAGCATTTCCTTGGAAACATACCAAGTTAAGAAAAACATGGCCTGTTATATGCCAACAACCAGTTATCTCTGTGTGCACTATGATTTCCTTAACTTTTGAGGTTGTACCTGGACAAAGAGGTCTGGGAGTGGACCTGTAGTCCCAGGCTATCATGACACAATAGGACCTAGGATGGGTGGGAAAGCCAACCAGGGCATCTCTGTCCAGATGAACCACAACTACCTTGACCATGGCCTTGGCCACTAGGCATGTCCAATGTTAAAGGGTTTTCTACTGATCCTCTCTAAGGCTGACCTGCCTGGATCCCCCAAGGAGCAGGACCCTTTCGGTGACTGAGCAGTGTGTGCTGGGTATGGGGAAGCTACTGGGTCTCTTGGTGAGATGAAGAGGCTGAGCTTGGTTTCCTGTGCTGGGTCCTCCTATGTCAGATTTGGCTCGGTAAACATGGTACTTGATGGATATGTATAGTGTTTTGTGAGTTTGATTGATAGTTTGAACCTGTGACTCTGCTGGGAGGTAGGATACACAATGACACTAAAAACATGGGTGGCCTCAAACTTCAGCAAATGATCTTCTCCATGAGCTGTCTTTTCTAGAAAATTAAGAAATTAATTTTTGAAAGGGGTTGGGGTACAATTTGTCAAGAATTGTCTCAGCACAAAGAGTTTCAATAGTCGGGCTGTTAATATACCTCAAATGTGATGGCTTGCTTTCTCTCATCTTCACAATGGGCCCATGATTCCAAAATAAGAAAACAGCTCTGAAGATGAGGTACACAGCTTGCTGAGGGTCATATGGCTTCCAAGAGGCAGAGGAGGGATCTGAACTCAGCCTACCCAACTGTGGGAGCTAATCTTCTGCCATTGTCCCTGCATTTCTAAAGGCAAGTTGGCAAGAAGGACCAGGATGGCTGTGCAGGACTGGTCTAGGTGGAGGGTGATTGGAAAAGAAGTGGATTCTAGCCTGGGACGCTAATCAGACCCAGCTGATGCAGAGTGAAGTGGGGACGGACACACAGCCTGACTGGTCATAATGCCCCACAGCACTTCGTCTTACCATCACCCTGTCTGGATACAGCTTGATTTCTGACTTAATCTATATCACTTACCACCAGACCTGTATCTTTATGATTTACTCCTAAAGGCTAGACTATATGTGCTTTGAGGTCAGGGGCTCTAACTCTTTACTCTGGGCCCTAATGCTCTGCTGGGGGCCTGGCACACAACAGTACTTCAGTCGGTTCATAGACAGGCTCTCTGAATAAAGCTACTGGAGAGAGCAAGCCAATCTGACTGAGAATCAGAAAATCTGGGTGTTATGGACTGAATGCAGCTCCTTGAATTTATATGTTGAAACCCTGATCTCCCCAATATGACGACATTTGAAGATGAGGCCTTTGGGAGGTCGATGGGTTCAGAAGAGGTCGTGAGGGTAGAGCCTCTGTGATCTCATTAGTGTTCTTATAAGAAACATCAGAGAGACTTCAGTCTCTGTCATGTGAGGACACAGTGATGGGGTGGCTGTTTGCAAGCCATAAAGGACCTCAGTAGACAGTGAATCAACAGGCACTTTGGCCTTGGACTTCCAGCCTCCAGAACTATGAGGAAAAGATGTCTGTTGCTTAAGCCACTCAATTTGGCTGCCTGAGCTGACTATAGTGAAGGGTTTGAGACTCAGCTCTGCTATCAGGACAAGTCATATAGCCAGGTTCTCTGGGCTCATCAGAAAGTCAGGATGATGGTGATTCTCCTGTGGGACACTGTGAAGAGTCAAGCAGGGCAGCAAAGGATGGGGCTGGCACACTGAGCACTGACCACAGACTGGGGAATAGGCATTATTTTGCCCCCAGATGTGGTCTGTGGCCTTATCTTATGAGGCTAGAAGGAAGCTGGTCCTGCAGGAAGGGGAAGGCATGACCAGGCCCACCTTTATCCAAAGCCAGCGTTCTTCTCCCAGCTCTGTGTAAGAAAGGGGCATGGATCATCCCACTACCCAGCCTGGGGCAGGCAGACAAGATTTTTGACCATCAAGCTGGCATCCATGTAAAACACTATGATGCACAAACTGAGCAGGCTTAGAAAAGACAGGGAAGAGGTGAGTTCAAACCAAGCACAGCAGTGGAAGTCTTCAGAAAAAGTGTGTACTGATCCTGTAGGCTGGAGGGGATAATGCCAGCATCCTTGTGCCCCCTGCCTGGCTGGGCCCCTGCTTACCTTTGCTCTTCCAGTTGTGGTCGGGAGCATAACCCAGGTGCCCGGCACATTTTCTGTTGAATTCAGCCACCAGGGACCTGTAGGGGTTCCGGATCAGCAGAATGGCTGAGTCGAACATCTCAATCTCCCTCTTGCCGCTCTCATGGGTCTTCACGCAGATGGTGCGCCGGCTCCGCCAGTGGTCCTTCTCACCCTTGAACCCTGCCCGGGAGAAAGGAAAAGGTCTCGGTGGAGGAAGGTGCTCCTGCTCCCACAGGGGGTGTCCCTACTTCCACAGGGGCAGGAGGCCTGATGCTGACCTACACAACCACCGGAGGGAAAGCCAATATTGAGGATAAGAGGGTCAGGGATGGCTCAGAAGGGAGCACTGAGAGTGTCCATGGATAGGGCACAGGCATTCCCCACAGGAGTGACCCCGTCCCAAGGAAGGTGAAGCAGGAGGCATCTATGAGTGGGGAAAGATGGCACCTGCAAGAGAAATGAGGACAGTCACCTCTTGTAGCAGGAGGCAGAGGGGCCAACCATGCCCTTTTATAGACACTGAAGATGCAGACACATTTGAGGCTTTTTGTGGAGATAATTTCACATGAGCATTGTAAATAATCTTATGAGTTAAACAGCTGTAGGCACAGCCAGATGAAGGGACTAAGGCTCAGAGGGAGTGTGTGACTTGCTAAACACCACATAGCACCATGTAAATAGTACCAGAGCTCTCTCCATACGCCACTGTGTGTCCCTGTGCAGCCCTCAGTTTCCATCTGCCTTCCCTCAGTGGGGTCGGGATTCCAACCTCAGGCTCAATGGCTAAAGGGCTAAAAGTGGCTGGATCCCCACCCTCTGACTTTACAGCATGTCCTACAACAGGGCCCCAGCCTTGCATATACTCTATGGAGATTCTCCATCTTGGGCTCTGGAGAAGGGCTGGTCAAGGCTTCATCCGTAGTATTTGAGTCCAACCCTGAGGAATCCAGGTCTGATTTCTATGAATATCCCATTAACCAAGTTCTCTGGGGCCTGTCTCCTTCCTTGGCGCCTTGGTATAGTACTGGGCACTCAGAACCTTAATGACAACCAGCTGAGAAGACCAGGCTCCACTTATCCATTCACAGAGGCACATATGATTCCACAAAGGTTTTTCAGAGGCTTGGACTCTTAAATTGGCAATGAAGGAGTAAGACCCTGCCTTTAAGCCTACGTTCTAGGTAGATTGGCCCAAGGACAGAACATAGGAGCTTATGGAAACAAACAGTAGGGGAGACCAAATACAGTGGACCCTTGACTTACAAATGCAATTCATTTGTGAGGGCTGGTTGTAACTCAGGTTGGTCAGTTGAAGGCTCAGATTCCTCTACACAGCCTTCAAAGTCTCTCTCCTCTATATAGGCAGATCTCAGTGTCCTTAGCGAGACATTGGTTCGGGATCTCTCAATTAACCCAACACAGGAAAGGATGTTGTAATGCTCCTTACAGAACCCTTTAAGGGTTAAATTTGTATCTGAGACTATGTGGAAGCACAAGTGGCTGGCATTTGGGTCATAAGTCAAGACTTTGGTGGTGAGTTAAAACTAAAATTCTGGTCATAACACAAGTTGTTTGTATGTCAGGGCAGTCATAACTTAAGGATGTCAGAGTAATATTGGAAAGATGTCTCCTGGCCATATCCTAATATAGACAATGCCATTCAGTTCTGGGGACAAGCGCCATAAATATTAACTAGCTTATCTTGGGCTCTTGGAAGCAAAATGAGTTTTTCTACTTGCTTGCCAATCCTTCTCCTTCAGGAATGGCTGGTACACATTCATATCTACTGTGAGCAGCAAGGGCTTGTCTAATGCTTGGGAAATAAAAGTATCCTGACTCTGGCAGTCTGGGTTTATCTGCTGAAACTCAACACAAGTTTCAAATTCATTGTTGCCATTGTTTCATTCTGTTTTGCCACCAAAAGCCTATTCTTTGATTCCTCTTATCAACTAGCTGGGAAACATCATGAAAGGAAGAACCAAACCATGGGCTCAATAAACTTGAGATCTAGTCTTTGTCTAACCTGACTCTCAGGTTGCTGTTCATACTGCTTCAGCCTATTGCAATTTGCTACTCTGCCAGTTCAGACCACATTCACTTTCCACACCAGGTTGGTGTTTTTGACATTGGAGTTGCCTTGTAAATTTTTAATTTGTGTGTATGAATGATCACTCCGTCAGTGCTCTGGGGCCTATAGCTACATCTAACCCATCCTTGAAAGCTCAAACACGCACTAAGTATCTCTAAAGCACCTCTGAGGCAGTTGTCCCAACTCTTGGCTGGCTCTTCTGGTCTTTGGTCCACTCAGACATATGTGGACCAAAACAGTTAATTGCTTTAATAAGGTAAAGGCCTTTTAGGTGAACAAGGTGGCTGAAAGCATCCTGGGCACAGGGGAACAGCCCGGAGAGGATAGAACCACACCCTTATTTCACTACTTCCTCTCTCACCTGCAGGGACTTTTAACATTCTTGAGTTCTTGGTTATATTAGCTACCATGGCTTTTCCCCAACTAGACCAAAACTGTCACAGGCTTTTCCAGGCCCACTGCCAATCTCAGGAAGTTTCTGTTTCTCCAGGATGTTACTGATAGCATTATCATTTGCTAAACAAAACTCTGGTTAAATAAACTCTGAGAAAATGCTCCAACACTTGACAAGAGAGTAATATATTTTGCCAAATTTAGATGCCACTTGACTTGTCTGAGGCATCCTGTTCGTTTTTAAACAGCACACAGACTTGAGCCATTTACATTAATTTACTTGGTATAATGAGACCTCTCATTTCTACAAAGGTAAGATTAGAAATCATAAAACTTAAAGATTTTTGAACCTATTTAAGTAAAATTGCATTTTGATATGCTACCCCTTGCCTCAGGAAAAAAAAAAAAAAGGAATGAATAGATTGAGTTTTGGTCCTAATTATTGAGGGTTCGGAAAATTAAGGAAAATTCAAGAAATCTTTATAGAGGGGGAATCCTAGCTGTTAGCCTTTCCTTTTGAATCTGGAATAAGCACTATTTTGTAAAGTTCCATTCTAAGTGCAGTCGAATGGCTGGCTGCATCAGCACCCCTTGGAAACTTGTAGAAATGTAAAATCCTTGCCCCTGGGTCAGACAAACTGAATCAGACTGGGAGTGTGGCCCAGGAATCTGTGTTCCAGAAAGCCCTCCGGGGGGTCCTTATGCACACTCAACTTCAGGAGGAGCTGGCTGGTGAGCAGAGAGTCTGGCCTATGCAAGCTACCTTCACGCCTCTCTGCAGCCCCGGCTCACCTTTGTTGTACAGTGTTCCATCGAAGTAGTAGCTCCCTGTGTAGAATCCTGTGGCATGCTCAATGAGGTGCCGTGCCCACGTGTTCCCGGCTCCTGGGAAGCTTGATAAAGCCACAAATACCTTGGATTTGCTGGGAAGAAACCTCCTGTCTGTACACCGTGTGTCTGAAAGTCCAGATGTCATTAGTTACTCACCTCCATGATGACCCACAGATCCACCACTGGGCTCCCTACACCGAGACAGATGAGTTATGATTCCCATTCAATGGATGGGAAGACAGAGGCCCAAAGAGGTGAAGGGATTTCCACCTGTAGCTTGGCTGCACAGGTCTGTGCCTGGACAGAGAAAGCCCATGACAAGGCTTCCCATAGCCCATGCAGGGGTGGGCATCTGGTGTACTATGGACCCTTCCCCCCATTCTGTCTCCATGGCCACAACTGAACCCTGGCTCAAGCATAGGTAACTCCAGATTTGGCTGGGGGAAGTGGCTGGGGGATGTGCCCAGCCACAGTGAATCAGGGCTGGACTTATTTCAAGCACTCATTGAGCTGCCACTGGCTATAGGTATTTTAGACAAGTAACTCTCTGAGTCTCATTTCCCTTCACCAGGGCTGCTGCGAGAAGCACATGAGTCACCAGGGGAAAGTCCCCCAGCCTCCCTAGTTGAGCTGGACATCAGGTGCTGGATAAAGCTGGGAACATTCCCACCCACCTAGGGCAGCCCTGATGCTCATACCAAGGAGGAGTTCAGGCTGGGAGCCCTCAGAGGCCTTGACCTCCCCTTTTCCCTAGGCCTGGCCTCACCCTTCCCATTCTTTCCACAACCCACCATGATGCTGGGGGCTTGACACAGATACCTTCTTGCTCTGCTCTGGGACTGCACACTCAGGCACACCTGGCTTCTCTAACCTCAGGAGCTTTCCCAGACCTTCGAGACCAAAAGCCATAGCCAGTGGTGGCTGTAGAGCTCACCTTGCACAGGAGTCTGGTAGACCTTGCAGTAACGAGCTGTCCTCTGTGGCTCAGGGGTGGGGCCACACAGTGCGCTGTCCACAGCATCCCGCAGGTTGAACTGGGGGGTTGAGTAGGCACAGTAGCACTCCCAGCCCCGCAGGACGGCCAAGGGGAACTCCTACCAGGGGAGGAGAGAGAGAAAAGGGCCCAAGGTGAAGGTGAGGGCCAGACTCCTGCACTTGGGCCCTGAGCAGAACAGGATGGGGCAGTGGCTACACAGGGTCAATGAGGATACCTGCACCCCTCCATGCCAGGCCCTGGGTCCAAACCAGGGAAGCCAGAGCTCAACAAGACATCACTTTTGTTCCCTGGGAGCTCAGCGTTGGCCAGGGACAAGTCCAGTCACACGCAGTTGAGCAGCACTGTGGCAGAGGGGTGAGTAAAGCATATGAACCTAGGAGTGGAATGTGGACCTGGGCTGTGAGATGTCTAAATGTTTTACTGGGAGGGCACTGGCATGCCAGAGACGAACTAGGGCAGCCTAGAGCTCAATGTGTCACATCATTCGTAACAGACCTGAAGCCCTGAAAGGGGATTGGAATTCTCTTTGCACTCTGTGGCCACCCCCCTCCATGGAAAGAGACCCAAACCAACCCCTGAGCCTGAAGCCTTGCTGCAGGGTAAGGATGGATTCCTATGCAGTCATTTTTCCAGAAATGGAAGAGGTGGGGAAGTGCACACCCAGTTTGCACCTAAATTGCTCAGCTTAATAGGGGCTTCCTGAAAAAGATGGGTTCCCACCAGATTAAGAGAGGGGAGGCACCTTGCTAGGAAGGCCCAGCAAGCACTTGGCAGTCTCTTCAACTGGTGGGAGCTGGATGTTGGCTTCCTGAGGATCTGAATGTGAATTCTGGCTCACTTACTGGGTAACCTTGGACAAGGTGCTTAACCTCGCTGAATCTCACCACTGACAAAAGGTAATTTGATCCATCTTGTAGGTTATGGTAATGGGCAGATGAGATGGGTGCACACTGCCCAACACTGAGCCAGGCACACAGTAGGTGCTTCACAGAGCAATAGGCCATCCTCGGCCTCTTCACTCTTTTGGATACCAATCACAGCTCACTCAAAAATGTATCCACTTGCTTTTCATATAGTTTTCTGAGCACCTGCTATGCACCAGGCACTAGGTAGGACATTTAGCCTCCTTCCTGCATCTTGAAACCTAGGGATGCTAGGTCCCTTGGAGCATAGTCTTAGGGGTGTATGGCAGGGAGGAGGGAGGCAGCAGGTGGATAAAGCTGCTCATTGCTAAGGGAAGTGCTGCACAAACCTTTTTATTTTTTGCCCACAGCAAGAAATCTCATAAATAAATAAATAAATAAAAAAATAAATAAATAAAAGAAAATCAATAGCATTTTTTGTGTGCAGCTTGGTAAAGCTGAGGATCTCAGCATTCACGGAAGACGGCAGAAAGTGTCACAGCCAAGTAAGGGTGATGCAGAGCCTGGGGAAGTGTGGGGAGCATCTTACAAGGGTGTGCAAGGGAAGGCTGTGGATGCTACCCACCAAGGGAGTGTAACCTGTAAGTGCAGTGAAGCCTCTCTTCCACTGCCTTGGCCCACAGTAATCCCCGCATCCCAGGAGCTGCAGACACAGGCAGCCCAGCTCCGAAGGAGCACACAGTGGTCAGGCTGTGCCTCCCATGCTCCTGTCCACATGTGCTGTGAGGGGTGGAATGATGTCCTCCAAATTCATCTGTTGAAGGCCTAACCCCAGTATCTCAGAATGTGACCTTCTTTGGAAATAGTCTTTTCCTTGTTGCTGGGACAAAATACCCAATGCCTACAACTTAGGAAAAGAAGAGGTTTATTTTGGGTCATGGTTTCTCCCCAGCAGAAACAGGAAGTCAGAGGAAAAGATGCTCAATCACTGGCAGTCAGAAAGCAAAGAGGGAAGGAAGGAGCTGGGGACAAGCACAAACCTCCCAGACCATGTCTCCTGTGGGCCACCTTCAACCAGCCCCACCTCCTAACAGTACATTCAGCTATGGTACCCATCAACGGATGAATCCAATGATGAGCTAGCACTCTGTGATCCAGTCACCTTCCACACACACAAGAGTTTGGAGAGGCGTTTTAGATCTAAACTATAATAAGAGTCTTTACAGAGATAATTAAGAGGAAGTCATTGGGGTAGGCCTACTCCACTGCGACTCCTGTTCTTATGAAGAGGAAGTAAGGACACAGACAACCCACAGACCTAGGGACAGCCATGTGGGAAAACCGTGAGAAGATGACCATCTGCAGACCAAGGAGAGGTCTCAGAAGGAACCAGTCCTACAAACACACTGATCTTGGAATTCCAGATTCCAAAAATGTAAGAAAGCAAATGTGTGTCATTTAAGGCATCCAGCCTGGGGTAATTTGTTACAGCAGCCCTGGATGCCTAAAACAATGACTGTCTTGCTGTTCCTGAATGCTGTAGCCAAGGCCCACATCAGGACCTTTACGGATGCTCTTCCATCCTCTGCCCGGAAAGTTCTTCTTCCAGATACACTCACTCTTTCCCTCACTTTCTGAAACTCCCCCTCCTTGGCCACCCATTTCCAAGTTGTGATACCCTTCCTCCAGCAACACATCTTATTTTTTTTCTGTGCTTCTACTTTTGTGTAGTAACTCCATGAATGAAATACTCATGCTCAGTTGGCTTTGACGAACATGTATCAAGACAAGCAGCACTTCCATTATTCCAGTGGTTCCTCTATCCCTTCTTCACTGGAAGCAACCACTATTCTGATTTCTATCACCACAGACTAGTTTTATCTATTCTGGGATGCCATATAAATAGGATTACGCAGTAGGTATTTTTATGCACCTGGCTTCTTTCATTCAGAAAAAAATTTGCTAAATCCATTCATAGTGGTTTATGTACTGGTAGATCACTGTCTTTAATTGGCATGCAGTATTTTATGTGCGGATGGACTGGCATGTTGAATCATTCACTTGATGGACATCCAGACTGTTTCCATGTTTAGCTATCTGGAAGAGAGCTGCTTGAAATATTCTTATACAAGACTTTTTTAATGGATCAGTTTCTCATGGATAAATACCTATAATTCCTGCCTCATTTTCTCCAGTACATTTATCACCACACAACATACTATATATTTTATTTATTTATCAGTTTATTGTCTGTCTCCATCCATGAGGACGTAAGTAGGGATGGGGTTTTCACAGGTTTTGTATGCCTTGCTGCAAGCTCAGTACCCAAAACAGTGTCTAACATGTGGCAGATGCTCAGTAAATGTCTAACTGATGAATAAATGACTAGATGAATGAATCCTTTCCAGATTTCATCTCCCTCAGAAGCTGGGCCAGCAAACTTGGGTATGATCCTTCTGCTGGTCACTGCATCTACAGCATCACTGCACAGAAGGAAGGGGCGGGGGAGCCCACAACAACTAAGCAAGGCTCCCCAACTGCTCTGCTCTCCTGGGGTTCCTGCTCAGAGGAAGAACAGCCCCCAGCATGGTAAGTCTGCTCAGGGGACGCTCATTCCATCTCCCTCCCCAGCAGTAACTGCACTGCTGACACAGCTCACAGTCTGATATCCCAGGGCTATGGAATGGGCTGCTCCCACCAGTGACCCGAACCTTTTTGCTTTCCTGAGTGGATTAAACTGTCAAGTTTCTGGGTGTTTTCAGAGCTACGGGAGAGCTGCAGACAGTAATGTGGTTTTATTTACAACATAACCGCTTCAGCAACATCACTGGATTCTGAAAACACAGAACAATTTTCAGCCCCTTGGGGATTTCTAGGACATGATTTCCATAAAAATTAAATATTGATGAATCTTATCTCTCTGCCAACTTCCCAGCTCACCCCACCTCCACTCCAAGCTTCAGTGAGAGAAAAAGAAAGAGCAGAGAGAAAGAGGAGAAAAGGGTCAGAGAAAAGCAGGCAGGAAAAGAAAGTGAGAGCACAGATGTGGGATTGTTTTCATCAAGCAGAAAGCAGGGGGTTACACGGGGCTGGGTCAGCCTAAATCTGGGGCAGGGTGGAGGTACCTGGGGCCTCATCCTGGGGTGTCCAGGATGGGGTGTCAGCTGGGGGCTGGGGAGGGCTGGGGCCATACCTGACTCTGGGGGAGCATTCAGCCTAATCCAGCTCATGACCCCTCAAGGGCGGGCCTCTGTGGCTCATGAGGCCCCATATGCAGAGGCTTGGTCTATGGCCAAGGGGTCAAGGAGTAGCTATTTCTTCACACATGAAGCAAGGGCCAAAGCAGACTTGTTTGTACCTCCTCTCCTCTGTCCCCATCCTTCCTTGAGCAGTATTCTCAGGATCTCCAGGACTGCACAGAATTAAAGAGACTGATTCAGAGGTCACACGAGGGGAAACTGAGGCTTAAAAGCAGGCGGCCAAAGCCCAAGATTTCCAGCCTAGCAGGTGAATGGGCTCAGATGTCAGCCTTCTGGACCCCTAGCTCAGGTCTTTGCCTCACCACAACTCAACTCCTCAGAAGCCACCCCGTCTGTGTGTTGGGTTTCTAGTAAAATCTGCATACCAGTCTCTCACTCCAGGGCAGTTCTCTACACTCCAGAGGCAGACCAGGACACTCAAGGGGCAAAAAGGAAAGCTGTTCACAAAGCTAGCTATGGGGATGGAGGCCAAAGGGGCAGACTTCAGCTTGCAGGCCAATGTTAAGTTGAAGGACCACTCACACACTGATACTATAACTGGCAATGGGGGGCTGCAGGGTTCAGAGTGGCAATGCTCAGAAGAAAAAAACAGCTCAAGGCTTGCCACCAGGAGCCTTTGGCTCTGAACCCCATTTGTGGACTCCGGAAAAGACACTGGGTATGGGTTTACCATTTGTAAAAGGGACGTGGCTTAAGGATTAAGGGCTCTGAAGTCCACAGGTTGATTTTAAATTTAGGTAGACTGAATTGATCTTTCCTTTTAGAAGGGGTATTAATACTTTCTAGGTGTCTTTCAGAAAGTATTCAGCAGCTTGGATGGTCTGAGTCCTGGTGAAGCTAGATGCATGGAGCCAGAGCTTCAATCCTGTCATCCCCAGCATCTTCTCTTCTCCATGTAAAGGGCTAACTCACCAGTCCCCAGTCTTCATCCATCTGTCCAGCTACAAGGGTCTGCTAGCTCTAGTTCACAGACT